GCTTGACTAGGAAAAGGAAAAACTGGACGAGGCTCTGCTTCGTCAAAGATGACCTTTATATAGCAGAAGAAGGGAATTTCATTGCATAAAAACAAACCGGGTTCCGCCCCTCTCCTTGATTTAATGGGTGGTTTTTGACGCTAAGAAAAAGAGAAGCGATCGTAATCGTACGGTTTCGGCTTCTTTTTCCTGTTCGGATTCCTATCCCAAGTTGGAAGTTCACTGTACCTATTCACAGCAATGAAAATGAAGGTTGACTTTCTTTTTAGTAAAAAACTGGGTTTTTTTTTCCAGTCCTTTGGCTCAATACAATACCGGGTGTGATTACGCACATTGGATGAAGATTCTTCTGTAGCTAAAGCTATTATTTTATAGAATCTAACCCAATACAAATCATTGCACACCACATGTTTGTCAAAATTACGTCCATTGGAAATTCGGCATCTCTTTTAAATTTAAGTATACTTTTTGAACACGAACACGCTATACTTGTTCACCAGCTAGGTTTGGTAATGGCTGATTTGTGAATGTTTCCATGAAAACTTCATATTGTATGGTCAGATTTGCAAAACCTGGGGGGTTCCTGGCTTTCATTCTTTTCCCCTTTCAGCACCATGGCTGGATTCCGTCGGCCCGTTAACGACTATTCTCGGTTTACCATTCAATTTTCCAGAATCGTTTTTCCTTCCCGGTAAAAGTAAAACAGAGGATTCCGACGACGAAGACATTGACAAAAGCGATAATTATGTACTTTTTATTTTTATATTATGATACGCAGAACAGCCAAAACTCAATTATAAGGAATTTTGAGCTTAATTTGATAAGCTTATATTATATATAAAAGCGAGGCCACGTTGTTTATATAGCAATTGATTTTCTTAAACATAATTATATAAAATTAAAAATATATTAAGACAATTTAATAAAAATATGATTTTATTGTTTTTTTATTCTTTTTAAAGTTACAGATGTTTGATGTTATTTATATAGTGGTTGATTTTTTTATCTACATAAACTTGATTTTTTTATAAATATAATAATATTCTTAATATTTTAAAAAATAAATTTCAGAATCATCAAATTGTAACACGTGTCACTTAACGGGAAAAATTATCGTCGTTGACGGTCCGAACATCTAAATGTATAACGTTTGTAACGTTAGGTACCTTAATGAATCAAAAAATAATTTAGACATTTATTTATAAAAAACAATATAATTTAGACAATTATTTTAATACGAAACCTAATAAATATAAAGAAATCAAGTCTTAAAAGAAAACATTTCTGACGGCCCACCATATTATATATGTAAATCCACCATAATATATGACAATACCAACTTATACTAACAACAGCTACACAAGACGGCCCAAATCAATATATCGTGATCACGTCAACGTTGTTTGAACGGTCCATTTTTAATAAACCGGGACCGATTGATTAATGTTGGATAAGATGAACAATGAAACTCTGATAATCTAAACAAACTCAATTTTAAAAGACGGATGGATTCTCTTATATGTGTATTGTATTGTCAAAGGAAAATTAAAAGTGGGACATGGGCATATAAGAATGTCAACCGGAATTAATTAATTATTAAATTGCATTACTATTTTTTTTATATATATTATCGCCTTAACTAATTAATCATATAGCACCACCGAGATTGTTGGTTTAGTGGGATAAAATATTGTATCATTTAAGCAAAGTCAGAAGTTTGAATCACGTCGATTACGAACGAAGCAAACTGGGTTGGGAGGGTCGCCCTTGCCTGTGCAATACATGATCCATATTAGTCGATCAATATCCCACGCTTTTTCCCTTAAAAATCATTGTCATATTAATTCTTTATTTATTATGTATTTTTAGAGATTATTTTCTATTATAAAAAAATAGATGACCCTTATTCCCATATGTAATAGGGTTAGGGAGATGTAAGATAGTAGGCTGTCCTCAATGTCAGGTTGAGAGCAGTTTCCGTGAAGACCTCCAAATTATGAATTGTCTCTCGTAGAACTCGATCCCGACCCCAAATCCTAGTCTTGTGCTCTATTATAAAAGATATATGTATATTAAATAAAAGAGCAATTTGATTCCCTAAATTGAAATTCCATTTGGGACAAAAAGAGAAACCTAATCTACCTCTAATCTTTGCTCACATTACAAAACTTCACTTACTTTTGGCCCACCTCCCCCCCCCCGGCCCCTACCCTTGTTCTTCTCAAAAAGTAACAAATGTTTCAACAAAAAAACAATATTAAATAAAAGGTAAACTACCATTTAGTACCTAAATTATATATTTAAGACCAAAATTATCAATTTTAGTATCTAAACTTTCAATTTTTTCAAAACAATACCTAACGTTTAGTTTTTGTTTCATTTTAATATCCGCCGTTAAAAATTTTAATGTGTTTAATACCTAAATTATCGATTTTAACCCGTTTTAGTATTTAAACTTTCAAAAAAAATCAAAAAATAACTTTGAATTTTGAATGGGATACTAAAACGAAACATACTTTAAGTATGGTTTTGAAAAAAATAAAAGTTTAGATATTGAATAAACTAAAACTGATAATTTAGGTACTAAACATGTAATTTACCCTAAATAAAAATAAGATAATTATTTGATAAACTGATGATAGAATGTTTTTTTCGCAATCGACTTTAATTTTACGTCATGTGTCAATGAATTTTAATCTATGTATCGATTTAGTCACTAAGTTCTAAAACTCTTCCATTTTAGCATTAAACTTTAGATATTAATTTTTTTGTCATTGGACCGTTGAATCATTAATATCGATATGATATGACTAGTGTAGAAAAAATATTTTTTTATTATTTCACATAATATTTTTCATGAAAATTAGGGGAATTTCTTCGATTTTTAGTTTTTGTCGAAATATTTAATTCTTTAATCTCTTTTGTGATCATCCTATATACAAAAAAACTCGTCTTATTGTCTTCTATTATTTTATTAGTTTAACTTTTATCAAAATCTCTTCAAAATCCACTAAATTATACACGCACAAAATCAATTTTTGGAGGTTTGAAGACTTTCTCGAATTTGAGAGATTTAGGTGTTTGTACAAAAAATTTAAGATTGAGAAGCATTCTATTGAGAAGACAAACAATATATCTCGAAAATTAGCTTCACGAAACGATCCTTGAAGGAGACTTGTGCTTTAGAACATCAAATATATAGATGAATATTCGTTAATTTTTGAGTTAATTTTGTGAAAAATCAATCAGAGAAGAAGGATGAGGAGCAAAATACTAAAATGTGAATTTTTGAACGTTGATCTTATCGAAAATGATGATTGACGACTGACGATGATTGACCAATAGTAATGATCAAATAGATTACCTTTTTTTACAGAGAAACATGGAAGAAATGAGCACATCATCATATAATTAACTATTTAATGGTTGATTAAAGAAATCAACATCAAAAGTCTAGTGCTAAAATTACAGTGTTTTAAAGTGTAGTGACTAAATCAATATTCAAACCAAAGTTTAATGACTAATGAGTAGTTTAGTCTTTATTTTAATAATAATTAATGACACATTATTTTAAAGTCATTTACTAAAAGATGGAGAAGAAATTGTCATATTTTATTAACAATTTAATTGTCTAATAATAAAAAATTCACTATAAAAAATTATCAAATTTATGCACAAATTAAAATTCAATAAATAATAGGATTATCTATTATTTACTTAAATATTAATTTATGACGTTATATTAAAATAACCTACGGGAGAATTTTTCACCATTAAATAATAATTTCTAAAAATAATTAAAATAATATGTTTCGCAAACATATTTAGGGTCCCCCATCATTCACTCGTTTTTTATTTTATTTTAATGTTTACTATAATGATTACGTGGAGCCTTGACCATCGTCGGATCTGATCTGATCTGATCAAAACAATTAAGAAAACAATAAAACATTTGAGAAAACAATTATCAAGGACAAAAGTCATGGATGTGGTAGAAGGGCTTAGGGAACCCGCTCAATAAAAACAAGGGTAAAATACCCGTTTAATGACTAAACTATCAATTTTGTTCTGTTTTAGTACCTAAACTTTCATTTTTTTCAAAATCATATAAAACGTTTTGTTTGTGTCCATTTTAGTATCGTCATTAAAAACTTAACGTGTTTAGTACTTAAACTATCAGTTTTGGCCCATTTTAGCACCTAAACTTTCAAAATTTTCAAAACTTAATGTCAAATTTTGAATGGGGTATTAAAATGAAACAAAAACTAAACTTTAGGTATGATTTTGAAAAATGAAAATTTAGATACTAAAACAAACAAAAACTGGTAGTTTAGATATTAAACGCATAATTTACCCTATAAACAAAGCAAAGCAACCTAAAAATAACAAAGAGAAAAATATATATAGTAATAGTATATACACGTTTCTCTTCTTCTTCTTCTTCTATATATATATATATATTTACATGAATAACTAATATCTAATTAATATCTATGTATATAGTATATGATTTTATTATATAGATTTTGAGGTGTTAGTGGTGGTCCATGGAGTACAAACTGCTCATCTGCCTTGTATATCAAGCAACGCCGTAATTCTTTCTTCTCTCCTTGTTTCTCTTCCTTTCTCTATCTGCAAACCACACCATCAACGGCGAAAAGAATAATCATAACCACTCCATCTCAAAACCCATGTGAGCTCTCTTCTCATCCTCTCTTCTCCCTTTTTATTAAAAACCCTTTTTTCATCATATCCTCTCTCTCTCTCCTTAATCTGTTAATTAATCACCTATATATATATTATGAACAAAAAGAACTGTAATTTTCCCGTATATACACATATCGTCTTCCTTACTCAAAGCTTTTTCAATGCCACGTCTATCATCAAATATTATATATATGAAAAAGAAAAAAAGGTTTTTTAGGGTATATTTTAAGTATATAAAGGAAAGTATTTACGCATATTTGAAGTATATGAGATAGGGGTTGGCCAACTTGCCATGCTTTTGTTTTTGTGCCCTTAAGTAACAGCTCTGAAGGCCGTTTTCTCCTTTTTCCTTGCTTTACTGGTCGAGTTCTTGAGCTTTAAAGCAAGGAGAATATCATTAAAATCTTTTCCCTTCTTTGCTTCGGTTGAAGTAATCGAATTCTGGTGTTGAGCGACAGTTTCTTCTGTTGAACAGTAGTTCTCATCTGGGTTTTGCTTGTTGTTTGATTGGTTTTTGGTGTTTTTTCGAAGAGGCGCTTATGGTTTATGTTATAGAGAAGAAGGTAAGTGGGAGGAAACTAGAGGAAGAAGATGAACAAGAGTAACCTGGGATCCGTCAGCAGCTCCGATCTCATCGATGCGAAGCTCGAGGAGCATCAGCTGTGCGGATCCAAGCACTGCCCTGGTTGCGGTCACAAGCTCGAAGGGAAGCCGGTGAGAATTTTTTGTTTAAAGCCTTCTTCTTTATCTTTATCTTAAGTTTTTTTTTCTTCTTTTCTTTCGCTTTAGTTGAAATTTTTTATTCTCAATGATATGAAAAATTTGCAGGACTGGTTAGGTTTACCTGCTGGAGTTAAATTTGATCCCACAGACCAAGAACTAATAGAACACCTTGAAGCTAAAGTCGAAGCCAAAGACATGAAATCTCACCCTTTGATCGATGAATTCATCCCCACCATTGAAGGAGAAGATGGTATTTGTTATACCCATCCTGAGAAACTCCCAGGTAGCTCAGAATATAATATATATATATATATATATATATATATATATATATATATGTATGTGTGCGTATGTAAGTATGCATTGTTTGATTAAAGTTTGTTGCACCTAAGTGAACCTAACTTTGATTTTTTTTTTTTTGTGGATTTGGTTTGATTACATTTCTTGTAGGAGTAAGCACAGATGGATTGAGCAGGCATTTCTTCCACAGACCGTCGAAGGCCTACACCACCGGGACACGAAAGCGGAGGAAAATTCAAACGGAATGCGACTTACAGGGCGGAGAAACGAGGTGGCATAAAACCGGCAAGACGAGGCCGGTGATGGTGAACGGAAAGCAGAAAGGGTGCAAGAAGATCCTGGTTCTCTACACCAATTTCGGTAAGAATCGGAAACCCGAGAAGACGAATTGGGTGATGCATCAATACCATCTGGGTCAGCACGAAGAAGAGAAAGAAGGAGAGCTCGTTGTGTCCAAGATATTTTATCAGACTCAACCGAGGCAATGCAACTGGTCGGATCGAACCGTAACGACGACGACGACAACGACCGTCGATGCAACCAATGCCGTTGCCAGTGATCCGAATAGCAGAAGAGATAGTGGCAGCGGGAGCTGTTCTTCATCAAAGGAAGTAATCCCTCTTAGAGATGACCTCGCCGGTTCTTCTGCCGGTGTCACCGCCGCTTTATCGAGTTATGCCGCTGGTTCCGCCATGGATATCCAACAGTTAAAGTCCGACCATTTCGGTTTCACCCCATTTACAAAAAGCTTCGACGAGGTATGCATTTCTGTACATTCATCAACCAACACGAAATAAAAGGCATAAACTGACATTGACATATGTGCCTTGTAATTTTATGCAATTTATCCAACTGGGCTTTTCTTTCGAGGTGTCTGTTCCAGGTGGGGATCGGAGAAGCTTCGGCCGCAAGGGAAGCTCCGACTCAAGGCTCTTGTGAAGAGATACCGGACCATCTCCGGCCACATCATATGACTCAGGATCATCATCAGCAACATCTACACCAACAACACCACACGCATCACCACATGGCTACGATGGCCTTCCACACTAGTAGGCCGTCGCATCCCATCGCCACCATTATCTCCCCACCTCCCCTCCACCACACCTCCATCATTCTAGACGACGATTCCTTCCATGTCTCCAGAATAATGCTTCAAAACGAGAATTTTCAGGTAATATCTATCTATCTATCTATCAATCTATCACATTTTATATCAAATCAATTAACCTCCATTTCACCAGTAGGTTAAACAAACTCACATTGTTTATACATAAATTCACTGTGATTAAAACTTTGAGTGGTACTTTGTTTTGAAAAGAAAAAAAACCCAGTTTTCTGATATATATAATCTCCATGCACTCAGCAGGAACAACATGACACAGTGTTTTACGCATGCATGCAGCGTGCCACATTTACATATTTAAGTAGGGTACTCATTAAGCTAAAGCACTTTTTATGGTCAAATTATAAATGAATATATGGGGATGCATGCAGCTCCACCATGAAGCTGAAACTCTGGGATTTTGGTGGGTAATAATGTAGTAGTAAATGTGGCAGACTCAATGTAGCCATGCTTACTTTTTATTGTCAGCTAAATTGGGAACAATGAACTGTCTTTCTTCTTCTTTTTAATTTTTTTAATCCTTATTGTTCATGATCCATTGTTGAAATGAATAATACTGCAGCAGCGGCAGCAGCATCAACAACAACAGCAACAGCAGCATTATAAACTGGGAGGAAGATCTGCATCAGGCTTGGAGGAACTGATAATGGGTTGCACTTCATCATCAGATAATAAAGATGTGAGTTGGAACTTTTTGACCCTGAAATCTATGAGCTTTGTCTTTCTCATATAATTACCAAGTAAGCAATGGACTAAAGAAAGAAAAAGTAAGTGACGAGTATATAAAAACTAAGGATAAAAAAAAGTGAATATATATATATATATATATTATTTGAAAAAGAGAGAGAAACCAGAGTTCTTTTCTTTTTCTCTCTCTCTTTTTTTCTTTTTTCCATCAGAGATTTACTGATTTAGCATGGCATTCAGCATCCTGTAAAGAGATGCACGTAGCTCTCATACTACAATAAAGCGCTGTGGAAGAGAGTGCATAGCCTTTTCAAAATGGTTTAATTCATGATTCAGACCCTAAAATATACCCGTTTTCTACTTTTGATACCCTGACACTTTTCTTTATCCACCTTGGCATTTAAATTATCATTATGTTCAAATTCACTAAAGAACATGATACTTGACACATTCTTATAAAAAAAACTGTTAAATTCTTGCACCAAAATGAAAAAACAAGTATATTTTAGGGGGTTGATTAAACATAAAGTCAGGGTTTCAAATCGCGGTCGCGTTTTCGGTCATTTCGTGTTTACCGTGATTGTGACCGTCGCGGGAGCTATTGCGGGTGTAGCGGGTAAGTCAGACGGCAACGAAACTGCTATATCGTAGGTGTAATCACATTTTCAGACCATGATTTGAAACTATGATAAAACCCTTTTATCACTCTCATAATCAAATATATTAGAACGTGAAACTATGAAATCCTTGAAATGAAGCCAAATCCCTGAAAATATTATATAATATTCTTTTATATTTCTCTTTAGGACAAAAAAAAAATATAAAAAGAAAAAGTAATTGGACAACTAAAGAGCCTATACTACTTTCCCTGCACCCCGTTTGGTTTTCATTTGAATACATGTTGCTTTACAAATTGCTGTGAAATCCTGGAAATTACCCCCCCTTTGAAGCTATTTTGAAAGCATCAGGTTGAAAAGAAAAGGTTCCAAAAAGCAAAGAAAAACAGTTAGTCAGTGAATAACATTCTTTTGGTTGGGTTCATGGGAAAGGAAGAATGATAGCAACATGAATGGAAACCCTATTATCATATATGTACCCTAAGATAGATACACCAACAAACAATTTGATTGTTGTAGTTGGGGAGAAGACAAAAGAAGGCAGCTTCTTCATTTTGTTGTGTTTCGGTTTAAAACCCTAATTATAAGTTGTGTTTTTCATTGCTTGAACATGGGGTTTTGTTGTTGTTGTTTGTTTTGGAACAGGAGTCATCCATTACAAACCCACATGAAGCTGAATGGTTGAAGTACTCTTCCTTCTGGCCTGACCCTGACAACCAGGATCATCATGGGTAGAAGTCAAAAAAGGAAAAATTAATGACAAAACGAAGGAAATTCCTTACGGATATCATTATTAGTATACTTGAAGCCCTAGCTCTGGTCAAGTTCTTTTCAAGGAGAAAGGCCAAAGGAAAAATAAACCATCAATTACTATAGTTTTTTTTCTCTCTTTTTTTTATTCTAATGGGGGAGGACCAGAGGGACCTGGTTTATATGACTTTCAAAGTCTCAAATGAACTAACTGTAAAACAGTCCATGTTGGAAAGAGAGAAAGTACAAAAGAAAAAAAGGAGAAAGTAAAAGAAAAGGGGGGGGGGGAACCCTTCCCTGCATGAAAATCACCACCATTATGATGACACAATATCATGTTTGTATGTCTATTCTTATTATTTTATTGTTTCAAGACTCTTTGTATAATTTCTTTCCCTATGTTCTTTTTCAAACAGAGAAAATACCAAAGAGTTTGTGCAAATTAATTTGCAGCACATACTGGTTGATTCAATGTTGTGTTACTTTTCTAGTAAAATATATACAGAAATGAAAATATTTGTTTCAGAACTGTTTTTTTCTTTGGTATGCCACTTTTTCATTTCTTCTTTTATCATGGAAGATTATCAAGGCTAGAAGCTAGCCAATTGTTATACCACATTTCAACTAGGTAAGGATCATGACTTGTTTGCAGGTCATGTATATACCTGCAAATGTACCCTAAAGGAGTGGAGAATTAGTCCTTAATAATCAAAACTTAAAGATCATGTTTATGACAACTTTTCATTATATATATATATATATATATTCATGGTCAAAACCCTTCTTTGAAGGTTTACCTCAATTGCTTTGTCCCTACAATATAATCATCTAAGGGTACAGCTCTGCAACTACACCATTATATATGCTCACCAAATCAATGTCAAAAGAAAAAGAAAAGAAAACTACCATTGCTAATGATGCATGAAGAAAATTGGTTCAATTGAGTTTTTTTTATCAGGTCAAGTATTTTCTTTAAGTTTTCGTATCTTTTTTATCCTTTGCAATTTGCTTTTAGTGACAAATTTCCTTTGCTGCATTGTACTGATGTTTTTGCCTAATGAAAAGTGAATGTACTTTACTCTGGTTTTGAGTAATTTCGAAACTCGTATATATAACAAATGAATTTTTTCAACTTAACTTGATCGAATACTTGATCGTAATCATGTGACATTATTTTTGAGGTGACAAATAAGATGTTGCCACGATGAAGTTTACTTGCATGTTCTCTGTCTTATCCATTGGTTTTTTCTTTTGGTAAGTGCTTGTCATACTCGTAATAAAGGAGTTAATTTGTTTGGTTCTCTAGATTTTAGAGAGATAGGAGAGGATGTGGGGGTATCATTAAAATTCTTTTCAAGTTTTAATCTTTTCTCTCATCGGAATCTTCGAATCTTTCATTAGAACACAACAACATAAAACACATTTTAAAATATCGGTCTCTTTCTTTCTAAATCTAACGTCGTTTGTTTTTCATTTAAGAATTTGATTTGATTTGATTTAATTTAATTTCAGATCTAATAAAAAATTATATGATTATCAGACACCGAAGATCTGAAATCAATAAAAATATATATAGGGGGATGGGAGGTAACGTGCATATATGATATACTTGCCTTCCATGGGACATGCATGAAATAAAGCTAAAATTGCAAATGGAGGGTGAGGCATGCAGCTTCGTAGTAGTTTCTGAAAGGGAATAAAACATGGAATACAAGGGAATTATCAGAGAGACAAGAATAACCTTTAAGCATTGAAATGACCCTTCATATCTTATTGGCAAGATTCTATTTTCTTGTCATATTATATATATATATATACACACACTGTACTATACTATATCTTCTATATCCATTGCTATTATACAATTATTATATGTACATATATGCTACCCCATCTATCTGTTCCAACAAAATATCAACTTTTGAACCAGGCATCTTTCTATATACAACTCCATCTCCCCTTTGTAATTAATTTAATATTATATTTGCAAAAAAGGGGTTTTAGGTTTTCTGGGTTTGCAGAGATTTGGTCCCATAAAGAAGTTGCAGGTAGAATTTGTGTATAGTGCAATAAGGAATATCACAACATGGCAAATTTTGCCTTTCTTGGATTCTCTACAACAGCAACACAATGGCCATACTAGCCCCATGAGGCCAATGCTGCTTTTTAAAAGGATCAAATAGGGATGCCAAATGATCATCAGCCATTTTCTTCCTGAAAGTATCAAGAATTTATTTCAGATGGTGTGAATTTATGAAGTTATATTAAAAATTTAGGGGGTGTGAAATTAGATCATCAATAGAAAATATAATGAAAATACCTACACCATATGAAAATTTAAAATTTATAAGAGTTGCGACCGCACCCAGCATCCCCTCGGTCCGTTCCTAATACTGGGATGAAGATAAGACTGTGATAGATACAATTCTTACATACAAAATTTCCCAGCTTAAGTCATTTTGATGTTTGAAAATGCATTCACCAAATAATAGCCTTTTAAAAAGTGTCACTACATGTATAAACAAACAATACCAGACAAGAATTGTAGCCAATTAACCTAATTAATGAAGAGATGGTAATATTGGAATGGTAGAGAATAAAGAATTATAAAATTTTGTAGTATACCTGCAGGGAGTAGCTTCCTTTAACAAAGACTTGTTTGGATCCTTTCTCATCTGTATAACAGGTGCCACATTCTTCTTGTTGGGGAACAGCTGACAAACAAGAACATTGACTAAATCATACTTCCATCTCACCATGATGAAGTTTCCCTGTTTTCCTTTGTTCCATGGACATCACATCAAAATGAGAGATAGGGTTTGGCAACTTACAAGATACTGTATAATGCAGCATTTCTCACCCATTTGGAAAATTCAGATGACCAAAGTGCAGAACAATTTCAGCTAAACAACAAAAGCCATAAAACAGGGAAGTATCAAGTATGCTATTTCTTACCAGGCTAATCAGGACACTTGAAGACTGTATAATCTCTCATTTCTTGGTCCATGTCCACAAAAACATGCAAACCATATGAAAAGATTTTGCACGATGTAAACATGTGTATAGAAGACAGAATAGCTGATTGTATAATTGAACATATGCTATGCTCGTTGAAGAAGTCTTACATGGTACTTTATAATGCTACATTGCTCACCCCTTCGAAAATCTGTTTCAGTGTACAGGCAAGAAGAGATGGCCTACGTGCCGAGTCGCTTTAACGGAACAGTTTCAGCTTAACAACAAAAGCATAGTCATTCCATAGAAACAGGGAGGTATCGTGTCCATGCCCACAAAACATGTAATGTATATGCTTTTTCATAAATGACAAGTCTTTGCACAATTCAAACATGGGGTATATGAAACAGCAAAGCTGACTGTATAATTGAACATATGCTATACATATCAATTATCATTGAAGAAGTCTTCTGGCTTTCTGTGTTTTATAGTTTTCCTTCTGTTTCTGTCATACACACTTGGATTTTAGCAGACCTCTACAATCTATACTTATTTTCTATTTTTCTGTACAAGCAACAACAACAAATGTTTTCTAGGAGTGGCGGACTCAGCAAGCGCGTGCTCGTGAAGCCTCCCACTTACAGGTCCGAAAACACCAGGAACTTTGAATGGTGCTAAAAGGCATGACAATCTTGCTATCATTGGGATCAAACTCACCATTCTTGGAAGGATTACAAGCTCCTTACCAGTGGTAATATCATCAAAAGTACTATGGTAACCTTAAAGATCTGCTTCTGTAATCATAACTGCACACACCGAAGGAGAGTGTATGGTGGAAGCCGGTTGTCGGCGCATGCTGTACTCCACAACTGACTGCTCATAACCATTAACAAACAAGAAATAAACAAGAGAGATGAGACACAGTTCATCATTCATACCTGTAAATGGAAGAAACCTGGTAATTAGTTCTATTTGGAAACATGGATTTATTCTCAGTTCCTATGCAAACAATAAATAAAAACATGTATTTCTAAGGAAGTTTCATACTCTGCACATGATAACAACACATACCTTCCACTGGGAGGGGGCAAGCAAAACTCGAGGTCTTCGAGACCGAACATATTCGAGGGCACCGGCAGGCGTCATCTGCTTATGCTCTACCTATTAATTCAATCATTAAAATAAGAAAACCAAATACAGAGCTAGCTTCAAAGATTACTGAACAACAGTGTCTCAACAAGCACCATGCAATAGATAGTGATTTACCAAGTAGCAAAGCACAATGGTGGTACTCCTTCCTCGTCCAGCTTTACAGTGCACGTAGGTGGTTCTTCCACACGAAGCATTCTCTGTAGCAAAAAAAGGGAAATCCAATCAGGCAATGGCGATTAACACTGGTAGTTGAAAGAAAGTATCATACTATGAATGAAGTCTACAGCTCTGCTGATATCTGAAATTGAAGGAGCAAATCAATAATCTCTTGTTGGAATCACTAGGTGATCAACTCCGTGCGCCTGTCAATAAACCATAAAGCATTAAATGTAAAGATCAAGACACAAAATAAGCTATTTCAAAAAAAAAAAAGCATTCATCTCGAAAAAATTAAATTTTTCGACACACGCTAAAAAATCAACTCAATTTGACTCGTAAATTTATAAGTTCAACTCGAAAACATTTCAAATAAAGTTTGAATTATAGAACAAGATTCGAATCACTCAAATTTCAATAATTAGTTGGTTTTTAAGTTTGAGTAAAATCTCTCAATTATGCATGACATATGTATATCGAACGTGAAAAAAAATGATATACTACCAAAGCAATATAAATATTTACATTTATATTTAAACATAAACTCAAACCACTCTCATCTAATCAAATCAATTAACTCGAATTTTTTTTAACTTAACTGACTCAAATTCTCATCTCTACAGATATCTGTGATCAGTAAAATAAGCTCAATTGGGATTTCATACTATTCAATTGAACAATCGAAGATTTTAAACAAAGAAAAGCTTACATTATATAAAGAACTGGAAACCAGAGTTTCAAAAGGCTAATTGAGAGTGATGCCCCCAGCTGCTTCAACCGTCGAACATCCCCGGGGAACGGAACGTCGGAACCGCCCCCAGCAAAAGAAACTGAAGTTAAAACGAAGAAGAAATCATCAGCAAAACAGGGAAAAAATCAAAGAAAGCCAGAGTTTCAATCGATCGTCTAAGTGCGAATTCAGGTAGAAGAGAAACCTGGTCAACTTCGTCCCACCATCTGAATTCGGATTGGATTTTGTTTCTGAAGACATTGTACAAAAGGGTCGGGTAAAAATGGATCCGAGCACCCGATCCGATTAGAACTCGCTTCGCATTGTCGACTAACTATCTGCTACTGCTTCGCACAGTAATCAACATCTTTTAAATAATATCAAACTGTATACAATAATTCCGGTAAAAGCGATAACATAGGGT